CCAAGCAGCTTGGTGAGAAGGTGACAACAGTTGGTGCAATCATTCACAAATGGAAGAAACACAAAACAAGTGTCAGTCTCCCTAGGTCTGGTGCACCATGCAAGATCTCACCTCGTGGAGTGTCAATGATCATGAGAACAGTGAGGAATCATCCCAGAACTACACGTGAGGATCTTGTCAATGATCTCCAGGCAGCTGGGACCACAGTCACCAAGAAAACAATTGGTAACACACTACGCCGACAAGGACTGAAATCCTGCAGTGCCCGCAAGGTCCCTCTGCTCAAGAAAGCCCATGTCCAGGCCCGTCTGAAGTCTGCCACTGAACATCTGAATGATGCAGAGGAGGACTGGTGGAAAGTGTTGTGGTCAGAATTGAGCTCTTTGGCATCAACTCAACTTGCCGTGGTTGGAGGAGGAGAAATGCTGCCTATGACCCCAAGAACACCATCCCAACTGTGAAACATGGTGGTGGAAACATTCTGCTTTGGGGGTGTTTTTCTGCTAAGGGGACAGGACAACTGCATCGCATCAAAGGGACGATGGACGGGGCAATGTACCATCAAATCTTGGGTGAGAACCTTCTTCCCTCAGCCAGGGTATTGAAAATGGGTGGTGGATGGGTGTTCCAGCATGACAATGACCCAAAACACACGGCCAAGGCAACAAAGGAGCGGCTCAAGAAGAAGCACATTAAGGTCCTGGAGTGGCCTAGCCAGTCTCCAGATCTTAATCGGATTGAAAATCTGTGGAGGAGCTGAAAGTTCGAGTTGCCAAACGTCAGCCACCAAACCTTAATGACTTGGAGAGGATCTGCCAAGAGGAGTGGGCCAAAATCCCTCCTGAGATGTGTACGAACCTGGGGGCCAACTCCAGGAAACGTCTGACCTCTGTGATTGCCAACAAGGGATTTGCCACTAAGTCATGTTTTGTGAAGGGGATCAAATCCTTCTTTCCCTCATGAACATGCAGATCAGTCATCATTTGTTAGACGCATTTCTGCTGAATTTGTTGTTGTATTCTGTCTCTCAGTGTTACACCGAACATTCCATTGTTAGACCGATCATTTCTGTGTGAGGGGCGAACATTCAACATCAGCCGGGGAGCAAATACACATTTCCTTCATTGTATGTATTCCCACCATGTCATGTGACCGTTTCTATGACCACACCTTCTTTTTGTTGCGTATCATGTGACCTCAGCTTTATCTGTTCCAACTTCAAGGTGTTGTCTTCTCCATCATTTCCCGCATCATGTGACTTCGTGGACCTATTATGTCTTACTTCGAGGAAGTGTCCTCCTCATTATGGTCCACCGCCCGTGACCCCTCCGCTCCATCTTTTTCCCACTTCAAGGGACCGTCCTGTCCATCCTGACTCGCATCATCTCGCAACTTTACTCTGTTCCTCATCTGTCATGTGACTTCCTGTGTAGAGTTTCTAGTTTTGTCATGTCTGTCTTCAAGGAACATTCCCTCTCACTGTGCCTCCCTGATGTCCGGTGACTACACGGGACTTTCTTTGTCATACTCCCGTCATGTCGTGTCTCGTTCGCCGACTAAATGTCATTGGTTTAGGGTTCACATCTGGTTTAATAGGGTCGCATTCTATCTTGCACAGCTCCTCCCCCTGCAGGCTGGCGCGGGTGTCGCGGCTCCTCCCGCCCCTGCAGGCTGGCGCGGGTGTCGCGGCTCCTCCCGCCCCTGCAGGCTGGCGCGGGTGTCGCGGCTCCTCCCGCCCCTGCAGGCTGGCGCGGGTGTCGCGGCTCCTCCCGCCCCTGCAGGCTGGCGCGGGTGTCGCGGCTCCTCCCGCCCCTGCAGGCTGGCGCGGGTGTCGAGGCTCCTCCCCCCCCGGCAGTCTTGAGTGGCTGTCGCGGCTCCTCCCCCCGCCAGTCTTGCACAGTGCAGGAAGGGGAGGAGCCATATGTCGCGGCCCAGAGAGCTCAGTAAACAGAAGCGTATGCGCAGTGGAGGAGGCGCTTTTGCATACCTAATGAGGTGGGAGGCAACAACACTGGGGGACGGAGATCAGCAGTGTGGTGTTGTCTGCCCTGGACAGGAAATAAAGTAAAATTCAGGGGGTAGGATCACCAGCCATATTGTGTATATGGAAGTGGGTGCAAACCCTCCCATATACCCAGTGGAGTGACATAAGTTGTATCTGTTTATCTGCAGCCTTCTCTTCTCTACATCCATTCAAACTCCAGAATTTATACAGCTTGTCTGAGTGTTCAGAGAACAGCCGCAGAGAGGTTGGGCTTCAATGCCGACATGCCACATATATGGCCCTATTGGTGGAAGAGGTTTCTGTGCTTAGAGCGTGCTTACAGCTCTTGGTCTGTACCAATGATCGGGAACCGGTGGTTTTTTTTTTTTTTTTTTTTGGTTTTTTTTTTTTTTTTTTTTTTTTTTTTTTTTTTTTTTTTTTTTTTTGTTTTTTTTTTTTTTTTTTTTTTTTTTTTTTTTTTTTGGGGTTTTTTTTTTTGTTTTTTTTTTTTTTTTTTATGGTTTTGTTTTTTTTTTTTTTTTTTTTTTTTTTTGTTTTTTTTGTCTTTGTGTTGGGGTGGGGGGGGTT